GAAGTGGTGAAAGGTCCGAAGACCCTGAAAACCACTCTTCACCATTTGAGGATGCAGCCTGCCTAAACAGGTGGTTTTCAATGTCTTCGGAGCTTTCACCACTTCAGGACCATTAAGGATTTTCAGACCTGAATGGTCCTGAAGTGGTGAAAGGTCCAAAGACCCTGAAAACCACCTGTTTAGGCAGGCTGCATCCTGAAGTGGTGAAGGGTGTCCTGAAGTGGTGATGAACAATACGACTGTTGTTAACCTTCTCTCACCACTTGGGGCTATGGCAGCCGAACACTGTCTCTACCACCAGCCTCACTCTACCTCACTCTCGCATGCACGCACATACGAGGATCACCCTGAATGTCCACGCTGCACAGTCACACCCACTGTCTATACTCTGCCTACACCAACAGCTGGGCGGCTATGGCCGCCGTCGTCTTCCTCCTCCTAGCTATGGCCGCCGGTGTCTCTCTCACTGGTTCGCTATGGCCGCTATCTTCTTCACAGCCCACTTCTTCTCCAGGCACCTGCGGTCCTCCACGCACAAGATACCAAGGCAGCTCTTCCGCATGGCACACAGGCGAATGAATGAATGGCTGGACGCTGCCTCCTTATTTATACCTCTTCGGAGGTACCCGGGCCTGCCTCAAAACGTGTGGGCTTGGGCCAAAATGTGTGGCCCAGGGAAGCTTCCAGACGGTTGGCCTTCTGGGCCAAAACGTGTGGAACCCACAGCGTGGTCCAGAACCTTCCCCATGTGTGGCCCCTACCCCTGGTTATGCTGACTGGACTGGCCTACAGGGACCTACGACCTTCTAGAGCCTACAGACTTACAGACAAACTCTAGGCCTCAGTAGACTCAGATAGAGACTTCTAGAACAGACCTTCCTAGGCCTAACAGTAACAGACCTAACTCCTAATCTACAGACCAGGGGTTCGAGTCTCACACAGATCACTGGGCCTATGTACAGGGTACAGGGTAGGTCTAGGGATCGAATCTCACTCAGCACACAGGGTCAATGTACAGGGTTTGGGCACAGGTCTACGGATCGAATCTCTGTGTCTGCAAATGCCGGGTTAACTGGGTGAAACCGTTTCAGGCACAAAAGGCACAAAATATGGATGTGTATCTTTCCATTCTTGTGCGCAAGATTCATTCTCAATTCGCACTGCTGGTGAGGTGCAACGAAGGCGGGTTGTCAGACGAGGCAGCTGTGAACATACGGCCCTCGCTGCACTGCTCACCATATGTGCAAAATGAGAATGAATCTTCCCCTAAAAAAGGGAACGTCCACAGCCATATTTGCTGTGCTTTCCGAAAACGGCGCGTTTCACCCAAGGCTCATTTCTCTTTGTGATACCTCAACGCCATTGGGGCCCATAATTTAATTATATTTTTTTTAGTGTATTTTTTTTTTTCTGCGCTTTTGTCTCTATGCAGGGTATAGTGGTAGAGAGCCCTTCACAGGTCGGGGCAGGCCGCCCTACCGGTCCCCCCGACTTTTTCGTCTCTCTCTCTCTCTCTCTCTCTCTCTCTCTCTCTCTCTCTCTCTCACGCGCGCGCGCGCGCGCGAGAGAGAGAGAGAGAGAGAGAGAGAGAGAGAGAGAGTCAGGGAGTGTCTGACGCTGAGTTTGGTGGAGAGAGAGAGAGAGAGAGAGAGAGAGAGAGAGAGAGAGAGAGAGAG